CAAGAATCTCAATCAGAATTGTTCACTCAACTTGGAAGATACAGCATGCATCAAAGTAAAGTGCTTTCCCCTTTAGTTAGCAGCAAGAAGACAAGAGGAGACACTTTATTATCCCTAGAAACATGTTTTGCAATCTGTGTTTCAGTCACTTCACATTTAAGTTCCTTACCAGAAACTTAAAAGTCAATTAATTTAAACTTTATCAACAGTTATAGTATACTCAGCAGAGGAACATTTGAAATCATAGTGTTTTGTCATGTAGTTACTACTTTCCTTACAATTTATGTAACTGTAGAATCTTATTAAAACAATTAATAATTACATATTATTCTAAAGTTTTGATTATTATTATTATCTCTCTCTCTCTTTTTGAAACTGACCGCAGTTTACGTGTCTTTCAACTCTGTAATTAAGAAATGACCACAGCTTAGGTAACTCTGTAATTAAGAAATGACCACAGCTTAGGTAACTCTGTCATTAAGACTTTGGCTTTCTTGCACTGTAAGCTGACTTTCACATTGCCTCATCCCCAGCAGCATGGCTTAGGTTGGCTCCCTTCCCCACTCTCTTCCTTCCTGGCATCTGCAAAAGCACAGCTTACTCGCCATGGGGTTGCTTTCTGAACTATAATTAATTTCCTTCAAGCCTCTCTTTGAGTATCTTTGTAGTCTTTGAGTAGTTGTTAGTGAGTGTTCTTAAATTCTTTTAATGTAATTAAGAACCGCTTCCTGATTTCCCAGGTATCTGATAGTGAGGGCTGAGAATCTCCAAGACTCTTTCTTGACTTCTAATTCTTTAATTTGCAGAGAAGAGGCACCTGTAACCGAACCAGTTGACAATATCTGACCAATAGTATTTCATATAAATATTATCAACCTTTTTTCAATTTAAGATTTATTATTTATTATAAAAGTAACCTCAATTCATATACAAAGTAACTTTCAAAATCCACAACTTTATTACAGCATTTTATTTTATGTAAAATTTAACTGTAATAGTGATAAGGAATGTTAAATCCAGTAAATGTGTAGATTATGTAATTGCTTTTAAATGCAAAGAAAAAAGCAGCAAAATTCTATTTTGTTTACAAAGTTATTCAAGCCTAGGGATACTGTTACAGTTTCTGTAAGATGATAACAAATAATTAAATAATATAATTAAATAAATCAGGTTTAAGTTGATAGTTTTCAACATAACAAAGACATGCAAAATAAATAAAATATGCCTAAAAAACTTGTTTTAAGTCCATGTATTGTTTGATAAATTTCTGCTGTACCTCTGACAATATTCAAAGAAAATCTGTCCTGATGTTCACATCCTTTACAACAGTGATAGCAGGAATCCCAAACTTCAAACACAGTGTTTCTGGCAACCAAGTGAATGCCAAGGCTCCAAACAATGTACTGTTTTCTTTGTTTGACTCCATTAGTGTTTTTACAAATGCAATTTCTACCTTTTACTAGTCTCTGATGTGGTAATCTTGCTTTTGAAATCCTTTCGGATAAATTTTGTGAGTTGCTTTTCTTGGCATACACATAACTGTAAGCAGAACTGCAGAACTGTGGCCCTGCTCCATTCCATGTCCAGTTTGATCCGCTCTGATTTGATTAGTTGCATGCCTCGTTCTGCTCTTAGATTTGCAAATACTGTTCCCCCCCCCCTTAGGTGACCATGTATGTTGTTCTGTTTCTTCCTGCTGGGCTTGAGTAAACATCTCCCTAGAGTTAGTGTCCAGACTGGAATTTGATGAAGTAGAATAATGCTGATACATTTGCTTCTGTTTGTGTTTTGTCAAATCCAGGAGTTCAAGTTTTGAACCAGGGTATAAGTATCATAAATTAATGTTTTTTTTTTCTAAAGGAGTTTTTTGTCTCTTATCATTCTTTCACTATGGCGGCCAAGTAATCTCTATTCAGGGCAAGCCGAAATTGCTGGTGGTGAAGAATTAACTCTTAAAGGAATGCGGAATTAGACTGGTTAGCAAAGAGAATGTGAAAATTATGATGTAGTATATAAGCAGTTTACACAGCATTAGAGTCAAGAAAAAGGGTTCTGGGGGAAAGTCTTCAGACACATTCTAAGTTAATTTGAAGGCAGCACTGCGGGGTCTCACACAATCATTGCTGTAGATGAATTCTTTAGAACTCTGCTCCAAGGTTCTAGGTAAAATTGTTCTGAAGCATGCTTCATCAGTAGCACTTCTCCCAAGATCCACTTCTCTATGCTGAGAGTGTCTCTGAGTCACTATGTAATAACCACTGTATATTACAACAGTCTTTGCCCTAAGTATAGACCACGCTGTAAAATCTAGAGTGGTTTTGATTCTCAGATATCACACTGTTCCAGTAGCCAGTCCTTACAGTGGACAGAACATGTATTTCCAGGGACTGCTTAGACCCACTGGGTTTCTCCACGTAATGATTAGGAAATATGGGAGACAGCATGAAATCTCAGTGAATATACAGCCCTACTGTTCCTGTGACTCTGTTCTCTACTTGCTCTTTCTATTCTCATGGCTAAGTCTGTGTTCTCATTGAATAATCTTCAAGGTTCTTCCAGGAGCCATAGCAACAGAAACAGGATAAAAAAATGTCTAGTGTTAATTTTCACTTAGGTAGTAATTTTTCTGGATTTTATAAGCGAGCATATCAGGACTTGACACTTTGTTTTGTAAAATATAAAATATATCATTCTTTTGGCACTCAAATAAGTTTATTTCCTCCCCCACACCCTCTTTATCATTTTCTTCCTGTTGTGCATATCTTTTCTTTCTCTACCCATCTTTCCCCACACAATGACTTTCCACAGACTATAGTGTTAAAAAGTAATCCAACAGTATTTTTCATTCTCTTTTATACTGAGTAACTTTCACATTTATTTTGGATTTGATATTTAAAAATGAGAAAATACTTTAACAGTTTCAAACATAAGTTGTCAAAACAGAGATCTGCCATAAAAAAACAAGAGATTTTCATCATCATCAGAAATAATTTTATTATCTATTTTAAAGCAGTTCAATAAAACTAGTAGCAAAAATGGCACATAGACAATAAATCAAACCAATTCTCAAAGGGCTAAGAGCACAATTGCTTTCTGTTTTATTTTCATGTGCAAGTGTAATCATTTTAAAAAGGCAACAGTTTGTTGAAAGTCTTTTATAAGCATCATTTATTCTTTACATAATTGGAAAGACTATAAACTATTATTTTCATATCAAGCAATATTAATTCTGTCAAATATTAAATTTGGGCTAATATTAATAATCAAAAATAATTATTTTAAAACTTATGAAACAAAATTTTTAGTTTTATAGGAAATATAGTCATATCCTAGCTTAAAATTCCAGTCTTAGCAACTGTCATAATGTAAAAATACTAAGCTTCGGAGCTCATTGGGAAAGAGAAGACATTTAAAATCTGACATTTATTCTTAAAAGAACTGTAATGGAATAAAAAAAAATGTCAATCAAAGGAAATATCTTACTTGACTACTGATAACCAAAAGTGAAATAACTCAGTATATTCAGTATGTTTTTTCTATTCCATACAATAATTCAATCCTGCTTCCAATTTTAACATCATGTGTAGTTTTTCGGTTGTATTTCACATAGATAACATACACACACGCTTGCATACAATCATGACGTTTGAAGGCATGCTCTCACTTTGAAGCAACTTGTTCAAACCAATCTTCTTTGAAGGCTAAAGCATCTCTCTATTTTGAGGGAATCCTTCATGCTTTTCTTACTCTAAATTATGGGCAATATAAAGTACTGTAATAAAAAATACATACTATATTCTCCTGTCAAATTGTAAAATGACTAGAAAATTTAATTTCACATTTTATGTTTGTTATTTTTTGTATAATTATTGGGAGGATGCTAGATTTCATTTTCTTAAAAGAATTTATTTTCCTATTCTGTGATCTGTTTCATTGTGATAAGGAAGGAAGAAATCCATTTCTTATATGGACTATTTTAGGATGCAGTGTCATGCTCATGAATAAATAAATAGATAGAAATCAGAACTTTGTCTTTGAAATGTATATATCATGGGAACAGTTTATTACTCTATTTGATTTGGCAAAATTGTGTATACATTTATTCTCTCATAAGTTTTGTTGTATTTATGATGAGAAAAAATAGGGAATAAAGACAAAAGTACTATATTAAAATTATCTGGCAAATGCTTAGTAATTCATTTTTAAATTAAATTAGAAGAAATATCAATATTAATGATATGTCCCTTACAATGTTGAAGTATAGATATGTTTGCTTATTTTTATATTAAATCAGATTTTAAGTGTAAGTCTTTAATATCAAAGACATTTGAAGAATGCTAAAGGTTTTAAAGTGTCTCTGTGGTCCATAAAATGTATAAATATTTTTCTTTTAAACTTGGACCCATTTTCTTAGTGACATCTTCTATATAGCTAAATGAAAAACATTAAAGCCTACAGCAATAGAAGACATCACTGCCCATCTGATATTTATGGGAGATATTCCAGTTCTCATATTAACTGAAAAGATATGCATTGTTTTCTCTATGTAAGGTATTTTTTAGGAGAAAATATATTTTTTCTTAAATAAATGTTTCTCAGCATAAAATATGCATTAGATATGAAGCTACCAAAAAGCCCAGATGATTAATAGTTCTTTGTGTTTTAGTTTCTTCTGAATAATTAAACATGCTATGGATATGTTGGCTTCTAAAATGAACACAATAATATATGGACAGACAGACATAAATGACTTTAAAGATCTATTCTGAAGAAAACTATGATTCCTAGACAGAAGTCATCCACAGAAGTTTGTCATTAATCTCTGGATAGAGATAAGCATACATTCTTATTGGGCTCAATTTTAGAAACAGCAAAGTTAAACAATATAATGACATATTTAATTATAAGGAGAAAAGCAGACTTCAGTGCCCTTGTGATGCACTGAATATGCATGGATTTCTTTATTTTTATAGTCTTATTAATGTTTTAAAACAGGATGCACACAATTCTGATAGTTCTTGAACAGTTAAATATCAGATTTTAACTTCTATATTTTATAGTCATTTTCAGAATCCCCCACTGATGAAATTTAAATACTAACCAGGGAAATGTCAATAAATACCACATTAAGTTCCAAAACCATCTGTACTTCTAAGAGAATATATTTTGCTTTTAAATAGAAGAAAGGTGAGAAATTGAATACATTCCAGTCAGTTTCGTAGGACCATCCCAACATTTTCGTGATTTCAAGCAAGATCCCTGTAGTGAAAATATGGTCCCTTATTTTCTTTTCATCAGAGTTGAGTTTCCTCCCGAGAATCTTGAACAGCAGCATTGCAGATGCTGTTTTTCCTACTGGGTTCAGTGTTTGGAAGGTAGGACAGTGGATCTGGTCGGATCAAGTATCTACCAAAGGAAAACAAAGCAGGAAGCTATATTAGTAAATCAAGGTAACCTTAATTCAGGGTGTCACTAGAAATATTCACTAATTATATATTCTATCTGTAAGTTACCTAAGATGTTACTTTATAAATAACCAAAAGAAAGGTTCACTGTAATTAGCCTGGTATGATTAGATGGCAAATGCTAATGAATTAAGTTTTACTCTTTCCAATTTGGTTTAGGCTCCATAATTTATCCTTTCAACCTTGTCCCATGAATACCTACTACATTCTATGAAAATCTACATCATAACCGTCATTATGTCAGTACTTAATTATTTTTCCACTTATTTTTATCATTTATGCAATTAAGAAATTGTTGTAAAGCGGGGTGGTGGCTCACACCCCTTTAATTTCAGCACTTGGGAGGCAGAGGCAGGCGGATCTCTGTGAGTTCAAGGCCAGTCTAGGCTACACGAGCTTGTTCCAGGACAACTCTAAAGCAAAACTATAGTAAAACCCTGTCTTGAAAAACCAAAAAATAAAAAAGCAAGCAAGCAAGCAAGCAAGCAAGCAAGCAAGCAAGAAAGAAAGAAAGAAAGGAAAAATTTGTAGGTGGTTGGAAAGTCTTTCCAATTTATGAAGTTAAGTATCATTATGGAAAATATTACTGCTAGATAACATTTGGATTATTTGGAAAATTGTCTTGTATTTAACATAATAATACTGAAGTATACAGGCTTATTTATATGTCTTTACTTATTCTTTGTGTTTGTCTGTTGGTGTCATTTTGTCTAATTACCTAGTCCTAATTGGCCTGGAACTTGCTATGTAGGCAAGGCTAACTTCAAAATTATGGGGATAGTCTTGCCTCATTCTGGAACTTCTGTTGTTAAATGCAAGAGCCACCATGTTATTCTTTTAAAATTATTATTAATAAGTTCTAGGAGTAAATAAGAAAACGTACATTTGAAAAACACAATAAGTTTTCAATAATATTTGGATTTCTCTGAGGGGGATGGTTCTTCATGCTGTGATCACATGTGACTAGTACGTGCTACCAGTTCACTATACCGTGTGTGTGTAAATGACCTCTGTTCTGCAGAAGACTGTAATGTAAATTATGGACCAGTTGTAAAGAAGAAATTGGATTCTAAACAGCCCATAAAAAGAAAAGAACTGGATTTAACTTTGTTAAAGGATTTGGGGTTAATCTTTTTTTTTTTAAAAAAATAGACTTGATAAATCAAAAGCAGGAAGATGATGACAAACTAACTTAAATAGGGAGAGACATATACAGAGGAAGGACTGACTGTCCTTGGTATACTTTTAAAAAGGAGTTTAACTAAACATCTGGTTAGAACAGAGAGGTAAAGTCAGAAATAAAAGCAACACAGAGATAATGAAAGTGGGGGGAGGGGGAGGGAAATGGGAGGCTGGGAGGAGGCGGAAACTTTTTTTTCTTATTCTCAATAAAAAAAAAAGAAAAAAAAGAAAGTTATTAAACAATGTCTTTCTAGGATGGTCATGTTTCAGGTGAAAATGAAAGGAGAAATCCATGTTACTATAATACCTTTACAAAGAAGTAAAAAAACAAATCAGGAAACCAATTTAAAAACAAGTACCTAACAATGGTTGTACTCTTTAAAATGTAGGTGGAAAAAATATTCATAGAGTACATCATAATAAGTATGAAGAGTGGAACCTGAAAGCACCTAAGTCCAGTTTCTTCAATCAAATGAAAGTTTAAATTAGTATCCTTGGATCTATTAACAGAATTTCACTGTCTATGCACACCGCTTCTAATTACTTAAAATTTTAATAGCATTGTAGATCAATGAAGAAAACTAATAGCAAACCTCAAGCCATTTAATGACTTTCCATCTAGTGATTTATTGTTTTAGGATCAAGTTAATGTTGCTCTTTCATTTGGAATGAACTTCTAGAAGCAAAATTTTAGAAAGAAAGCACAAAAAGTAAAAGTATAATTCACTATCCACTAAACCCATTGATGTGACAAACATTACAAGTCAGAGTTTGACAGAGCACATTCCTTTGGCTCTCCTTTGGTCTGCTACATACCATGGTAGATATTAGAATGTGCCATAGCTTGAGTTCTGCTAGGCCTTCTCTCAGGGCCATGAATATAGTCACTGCAATAGTATGAGGAACATATTTTTTGTGGCACTTACGTTGATGTTTTGCTTAAATTTAATAAAAATGAGAGTGTTCAAAGAGTAGGAAATTTCTCTCAAGCATTCCTGGTTTATTGTATGCTTTGTCAAAAAATGCTCTAGTTATAGCTTGGAAAGTTTCATATTTAATTTGAAGTAAATATATATATATATATATATATAGTGTTACTGCCACACGATTTGTCCTTTATTATAATTTTCAAGGAAGAAATAGAATAACAAAAGGGTAAATACTTTGTGATACTATTTACTTGAAAATGTACTAGTAAAAGAAAGCATATAAAGATAGAATGTAGACTAACGAGTAAGTGCAGAAGTAAAAGTAGGAGGATAAGATGATGGAGATGGGTAGCTTAACCCATCTATGGCGCAGGACTTCTTTAACACACAATAATATGATCCAAAATTGAATTGTGAGAGCTTCTCCATTGCTATTGGAAATATTTAAAGCCATTAACTTCTATATATTAAATGTATGAATTGTATGTTCATTTTATCCCAGTAAATCATTTAAATGTGTCTTCGTTTATACTATGAAGACATACAGAGTAATAGAATTAATTCTTACAAGATCACAGAACCCAAAGAGTTCAGGAAGAAAAAGAAAATTTGCAAATGGGATCATAACAAGACAAAAAGCTTGGCCAGTCAAAGAATGATTAACAAAATATAAACTACAAAATGGGAGATAGTTTTTGAATTATTCATTCAACAAGTGATATAATATCTGGAATATATAGAGAGTTCATCCAACTTAAAAACAGCAAAATCCCAAAGGTATTAATGCAGTTAAAAGTCTACAAATGACCTGAAACAAGTTCTCAGACAAATTCCTGGTAAGAATAATTTTTTTTAACAATGTTCAATCTTTAGATGAATACCAATCAAAACAGAGTGATTATTGTTTCACATCTTATGGAATGGCTATTATACAAAAGATCAGAGATCAGATATCGCTAGAGATATAGACAAAGAAATATTCATTTACTATTGATTCAAATTTTAGTTAGCTTAGCCATAATAAAAACAATATGGAAACTCTTTATAGAACTAGAAATAAAAGCACATGTGATCCAACAAACTACTACTATGTATATAAAGATAATCAAATAAATCAATAAGAATTTTTTTGTTAATTATATCATGTATTAAATTGCTCTAACTGACATTTATAGGATATTTACTTCACAAATTGCTTCTCAACAGATTCTGAACATATAGAAACTTCTCCTAGACTGCATTTTAGAAGACAACACAAGTATAAAAGAAGAAACAAAAAAAAAACATCATATTTTGTTGTTTTTCCACCAGTACAGTGGCAGCACCTGAATCTCTAGCTGTTTCAATCAGTAATTGTGGTTCTGCCATTACTGTCCCACTTCTCTGGTAGCCACAGTGTGTGAAATTTATAACCTGTTTGGTCTACCTTCTGCTGCTGCCAGCAAATACAGTTTTCAAGTAAATCTCTTTAGTTCCATTTATCAATAGGACTCAGGAGTCAGAGGCTGAGGTGAAAACCTGCTAGCTCAGAGCAATTTGAGGAGCAACTACCTGACTTTCCCTCTTCACAGAAAGACAGTGTCATTCTGCAGCATCAAACTTAGAGAGACCACCATGCTCAAAGTCCTTTCTACTGCTTCTTGTGCATCTCCCTATCTTCCAGACTCCCTCCGATTTGCTATGATTAATTTCTGTCAAGGAGTTGCTGGCTCTGCCTCCTGACCCAAGGTTGAATTTATTTACTTAATACAAATGCAACCTCAGGATTAATACTGTGATCAAAGATCCTGTAACAATATTTCTCTTATCTGATCAGAAATATCTTTACTTTTATGTGTTTTGAAATTTTATCATCAAAGGGTTGCCACATTAGGAAGATTGACAACCATTTTAGGGAATGTGTTCCTCTACCCCTTTCCTCCTGTATTCCGCTGTACTTTAATTTTCCTTGAGGAAATTTTAATATCTTTACAGATATATACTGTTAGATGCTTCCCTTTTTCTTTGAGCTGTTCTCCAACATAGTATAGATTTTCTTGTTTTACAAATGTATATTTGCCTAGAGAATAGAAAACGCTACTATTGTGTCAATTAACAGACCTTTTTTTACAATTCTATACTTTATAGTACTACACAGAGAAACACAGGAATCCCTATGCTCATCAGAAATATTTTTTGTCAAGCATGCTCATCAAAATAATTAGGGACTATAATGGTAAAATAAAATAGAAGGTAGATTTGTAATTTATATATCCCTAATCCCTAATATGAGGTCAACTTACACAACATCATTGAGCTCAAGCCTGGTGTCTGGAGATGGATTAATCAGGATGTAGGATAGGGTGCTTTGATGATCATTCATTTCATCTGCAAGATAAATAAGTATAATGTCTGTTAGGATTCACACAAAATCACAGAAATCATTATATTTGTGTTTAAATCATGGAGTTGTCAATGAGAACTCACTGAAGCCATGTTTGGTTCTGTTTTGTATTTAATGCATGCAAGTTTGGTTTTCACTTTTCTGTCATCTGAAATGTTGGCAAAGTACCTATTTTTTGTTCCAGTAGATGATAAAAATAAAGTACCTAATTCTGTTCAGTGTAACCATAGTTACATTCTCTCCTGAAAGTCATTACAATTAATTTTTTTCTACTAAAAATAGTTATGAGATATTTACTTGATTCATTTCCCTTTATAATAATTAAAAATAATTAGAAGTAAACATTATCATTCCATAGAATATTGATATAAAAACTCCTGAAAAAGAATCTAGTCATATGTATTTAAGAGGTATTAAAAACTGTAATACATATACATATATAACTGATATATATATGTATATATATATTATATATGTATATATATATATCTTTAATATGTATGCCTTCATGGCATGATTTGCTTTTTAAGAATACAAAGAATCCATTGTAAAAGAAATCAACATTACATTTTAAGGAGTTTACAATGGTAAATATTTTCTTTTCTTATTGGCCATATTGGGAATTGCTGGTACTGTGTGAAAGCACTGAAGTCAGTGTCCTCAGAGCACTGGGCTTTGTCCTGAGTCAGTTCTTAAAAGAACAAGTTATTTTAAAAGAGTAAGTCTTCAACCCCTGCAGCACACAAGTGGGCATTATAGCTTACTCCGTAAGGTTCTAGTTTATCTGCTCATCTATTCTGATGTGATATAGACAAGGGGACACCACAAAACACCAAAACTGAACATTTATTAGAATATCCACCTTCAATGACTTAAATAAACATCAGTTTTTAAAAAGTACACAACTTCAAGTGCTAGATGTAGCAATAAGAAGCTCACCAAAACAAAAGAGCATAAACATAATCATTTTTAAAATGTGAAAAACTTTGTAGATCTTGATGTTTAACATTCTAAGTGTATTAAAAGATACAACAATAAAGCCACGTGGATACATACTTTAATGATTACCTTTTTTTTTTTCCAAGGAGAAAGTATATGTTGATATACTTAAAATCAGAACAAACAGTCTAAAGTATTAGTATTCATTTAGTTACTATACTTATAAATAAATATAGTTCTTGAAAGCAAAACTGTATTATGAAGTTTGAAGAAAAGTCAAAAATTATTTCTTACCAAAGACAGTTCCTCGATATTTATATATTTTATTAAAGTTCATGTTAGCCCAGAGTAGCTGAACCTAATAAACAATTTGCTGTACTAAAATGTTTTCTTACATAATAATATTATTCATTATATTCATTTCAGTAGAAATAATGCTCTTTTAATGTCATAATATATTCTGCTTTAGTTCAATTGATATGCAAATCTTCTTTAAAGCCTATAAATCAAAGTTAGAATCCTACAAGACAGACAAATTACAGAATAGATGAGCCTACCAAAAGTTTAGCAGTAAAAATATTTCAATTTCAAACTGATTAAATTGATATTCAAATAAAGTAATATATTTTGTTGTTAATTGTTGAAATAGATCCAGAAATACAACTGTATCTTCCCCCTTTAGGATTAGGGTTGCCAAGAAAAACAAAGAATGCCCAAAGATATATAAACCACAGCTAATATCTACAAACACTTTATAACAAATATAGCCTAAAGATAATATGTGAAACACTAATATAATTTCTGAAGCACTGGAAATTATCTGAAAGTCAAATGCAGCTGGGAATACAGCATATTTATTTGCTATACCTGGGATTCATATGTAAGGAGAAATGGCTAAATCAGCAGATTGGAGTTTGAAATCCAAATATAAAAATTATATTTACTCCAAAATAGTTACTAATAGTTATAAATCACATTATACTGACATGAGTTTATCAAGATCATATATCTCTATGAAAAGTAAGTTTCATTTATGCATTCTTCTTGTAAAAAGTATTATTTTAATGTGAATTGTAACAAGTTCTTTTCAAAGGAACTCCAATTGACGGTATTCTCTGCACCCTAAGTCATAACGCTATACTAGAAAAATCTCCATTTAATTTGGATGTGAGCAACTCAGTATCTAAAATAAACAAAAATGGTCCTGAACTGCAGTACAAAAAAGGCAACTCTACCAAAACACCTCTTGCTCAGTGTAGATACCCAGCCACATTCTGTCATTAACAGAGCATTCTTTAGTTACTTTTGAATAAAAGTCAAGTTGCAGTGGTGGTCTCATTTGCTTGTGACAAATGAGTCAAGATGATTCTGAGGTTTCCTAAGAGTAGATGCAATTATTTTGTCAACATTTTGATTTGCTCAATTAACCTATTTTCACAAATCGAACTGAACACGTTAATTGTGCAACTGGCTCTAAGTCTGATATCAAACATGTCGATAATACACTCAGTGATTTCACATGTTTTAAATCAAGGCATAGATGTGGCCACAATCAGAACCAGCAATTCCAGTTTTTTTCTCTACTCCTCAATGACTATTCCTCGTGGAGTGGAATGCCATCATTTTGATTTAGGTTAAAAGTAGTCGTTGATTTCAAAGCCATTCTTTCAAGTCTGCGCTGCCATAGAGCTCAGCTTGACCCACAGCTTGTCTGCCACGCTTTGTGAAAAGGCCTGCTGTTACCTTCTTCTCTTTGTGATTTTGCACTTGAGAATTAATAAGCAAGTTTTAAAGTCTATTTTAACTTGCTTCAAAGAGACATTCATCAATGTTTTGTTGGCCATGCACTACTGTTTTGGTATCAAACAGTCATTTTCTGTGGTTATATTTTATTTCTCAATTCTATAAGAATGAATATAGTAGGTTTGATAGATTATTAAGAGCCTGACATAATTATCATTAACTATGGCAGACATGAATACACATGGTTGTGCCCAAACCAGAATATAATACTTACTAAAAAATTGATTTGCATTATATTTGGTTGTATGAAATCAGAGAATCAAGATTCTATTTCCTAGCATCAGAAATGTATTAAGAATCTTCTATTAATATACTGTGTCCAGACAGCTAAACTCTGGCCTTAGAAAACTAAAAAGTGCCATCTGCTTAAAATCAGTGCTCTTGAAATTGTTTCACACACAGTAGAAAAAGACAGGCGATTCAACAAATAGTGCTGACAAACTAAATATGCACCCTCGGAACAATAAATTTAGGTTCATGTCTTTCATCCTATATAAAGCTCAATTCAAAAGAAACCAAATACTCTAATTTAAAACATGAAGTGTTGAAACTTCTGGAGGAAAGCAGAGGAGATACACTTCAGGATTGAAGTATGGAAAATAGCTTCCAAAGAGGGCTCCGGTGGGATAGGAAATCCATGAACAGACTGCAGTACACCCTTGGCACAGCCAAAGGAATGAAGAACAGGGCTACTCCGTTCACTGCTGAGAAAAGTATTTGCTATGTACGTCAGACAAGGGGTTATTAGCAAAAACTTATGAAGAACTGCAAAGTAAAACTCTAGTCCCAAACAATTTGAATAAGAAGTTGAAAAGACAAAAAATGCAAATGATAAATAATATCATTTAAATAAAAATTAAATAAATATTTTTTTTTTTAGTTTTTGAGACTATAATATAATTATACCATTTTCCCCTTCCCATACTGTCTCCAAACCCTCCAAAACACCACACCCTGCCTCTCTCTTTCAAATCATTGATTAATTTTCTTGTCATTCTGTATTGGGTATGTGTGTACTCTTAAATACAACCTGTTCAGTCTGTTTTATGCAACTTGTTTATATATAATTTCAGACCTGATCATTTGGTACTGGATAACCAATTGAAGTGCTCTTCCCTAGGAAAGACTATTTCTCCTTCTCTACTCATTCCTAAGCTGGTTGTAGTTATTTGTATAGGGTTGACGCTTTCCCTCTTCTGTATTAATGTATCCCCTATTGTCATTCAAGCAAACATGTTTCTGAGACTTTATACCTGACATTTCCATTACACACAATTTCACAGAAAATTTCAGGAGTAGTGTTATAGATATATAAGATGCAAAATATTACAGAAAAGAACAATTGACCAACTTTTTTAAGTGATTAATATTCCTAGCAATCAAGAAACTGGGAATTAAGGGTAAGGGTGAGTTAATAAAATTTAAGAACATATGAAGAAGTCTAATGTACTGACACTATTTCATAAGCCAATTATAAATGTCTTTTTCTTTTCCTTTTTTTTTGAGACAAGGTTTCTATATATATCTTTGGTTGTCATTGAACTCACAGAGATCCATCTGCCTCTGCCTCTGCCTGAATTTATGTCTGTGTGAGGTGGTTGAATTCCCTGGAACTGGAGTTACAGACAGTTGTCAACTTCTTTGAGGGTGCTACAAAGTGAACCTGGGTCTTCTGGAAGAGCAGTCAGTGTTTTAGCCCCCGAGCCTTCTCTTCATCCATCCAATTTTATTTTTTTAACACCAAATTAGTAAACAAAGCTGTTTCCAGAAGACATGAGTAATTAAATGAAAATCTCAGAGACATGCATGTATTAATTTCCTATGTGCTATTGGTGAAAGAGGTCCCAGAGTCACTCAAGACAATACAGGCACTGGCATTGCTCTTGGATGTCCGTCATAATTAGATGATTAATCTCTATTGCTGAGGACACCACACACCTTGGTTTCAGGACGCAGAGAAATTTACCTTGAGTTAACCAGATCACTCTTTTTTTTTTTCACTCACTTCACATTGCTAGAAGGTGCTAGGCAGACTGCTGAGGGAAAATACCTCACTGGTCTTATGCAGCATTGGATTGAAATCTGCAAGTTATAAAACTGACCTAGTAAGCGAAATGTTCCTACAGGTTCAATAATAGACAGACTCTTTATGAGGGTAATTAATTGCTCTCTTGATTAGATTTGTAACTTCAGTTGGAGGGAATACATGCCTAGTACTGTAAGCAAACTCAAAACCCTTGCCTAGGGAAGTAATAGGCCTATTTATAGGTCTATTCTGGATCTATTAATATGTTTTTATAAATGGTCATGCTATTAATATGCCTTCTAAATATATTTTATTCATGGATTTACATTGCTCCAATCTTAATAAGAAATATCATAGTGGGAAATGGGTAATTTAGAGATTCATTATTGTTCAGGATGATAAGAACAAGCAAATATGAGTGTTCAGTCATAAATGGGACTTCTAGATCAAACCTCACCCACCAGACTCCAGAAATATTTCTGTAGAGGTGGGCAAAAGGAAAGTAAGAGCCCCAGGATGGGGAGAAGTTCTATGGAAGTCATTGCCTTTGCATACATGAATTCACAACACCTGGATTGCATATCTGCATAAGAGCTACACAAGATCAAGCCTGTTAAACATTACCGCATGCAGTGGAGAATACCTCCCAAAACCTTACCCTAGCTGAGGAGCAAGGCAGCTAATATCTGCCAGGGGAAGAAACCACTTCTTTAGCAGTGTGGCCACTGGTAGGTTTTCCATTTTCAATTGGATGAACACACATCCATGGGCAGCACTAATTGGACTTAGCGAGTTAAACAAGCAACAAACACATAAGCTATAAAAGAACACTATGTTGGGAGGGAGATATGAGATAGGGATTCTAGATGAGTGAGAGTGTGGGGTGGTTCTTTGCACTGTTTAAATTTTCCATTTTATTCATTTCTGGCATTCTTTTAATTGTTTCCACCTTCTTCTTTGGGGTTTGGTGTATTTTTATTTTTCTAAACTCCAAAGGAGCACCCAGCACCAACTAGTTAATTTGTGTTCTCTCTACTTCCTTGAGGGAAGCACTTAAAGGTATAAACTTCCCCCATACAACTATATTCATTGTGTCCAAAAGTTTCATTTTATTGTATTTTCATTTCATTCTATAAATTTTTAAAATCTTTGTCTTAAATTTGCCTGTGATGCATTAATAATTTAATAGTAGGCTATTTAATCTCTATGAGATCATGTATTCTCTGTATTGTATTTTCTACAATAATTTTCTGTTTATCTATTGTAGGCAGAATATAAGAAGTTACTTCAAATTTCTAATATTAGTTGAGGTTTGATTTGTGTTTCAATATGTGGTCTATTTTACAGAAACTTTCATTGGTCATTTTGCTGTTTGCACCAGAAATGATTACAATGAGATTAGCAGGATTTTTCCCTATGTGGGGGTACATATTGTCTTAGTATTTTATACTGCTTGTATGTTTCTGCTGTGACCTTTACATGTGGCATTAGGTCACTGGTTGTCTTTTGATGTGAGTTTTTACACAGACACATATCTACTCTTCATGTTGAATGGGATTTGGATCCCTATTTGCTTTTACCTTTCATTGGCTGGGTTAGAGTCAGCTAGGAGATACTAGAAGCATAACCATGTGACCACTCAGTGTTGATGATTAGTGTGGTACCTGACAAACTTCAATTCATCTATGAAAAGGTAGAGCCTTTGGCATTAGCAGTGAGTGATCAGCAAAAGTGAGTAGAGATGGGTTATATTGGAGGGCTGGTGGCATTAGACTTCTGACCTGGAGGGAAAATGGGTGCTCAGTATCTGGTCTTGGGAAAATGGTGAATTGGATTTTGAAGGTCTGCATAGTTGTGGTGTCTGACATAAGGGGTGGGTAGGCACTCTAGGCAAATGATAAACTAGCAATATTTTGGGTTATTATGGTAGCTGTGATGTGGTCTCTATTTGGTGGTATTTATATCTACTATACCTAAGTAGCTGTCTCTACTATTAATGCTACTCCAATCTGGTTTAGAAATCATTTTATGGATACAGTCCTCTCAGTGGTACCGATGACAGACTACCAGACTTGCAGCATTGCATGTTTTTATACCAAGGAAATCATAGCAAGGCAGATGTAAAAAGAGGGAGGAAATAAATGAATGGAATGCCTTCTGTTATATAAGAATTATCATGAGCATAAAATAACTAATTTCCATAAAAATAGAATGAGAAAATCATAAGAAAAAATTTCTTGCAAATCCCTGCTGCTTCTTTAGGTGATGCCCATACAGTCGGCTCATACATTTGCATATTTCTAACAAGAATGTGATATGCAACTCTGCTTATGGATTAACAGGAGATTAGAATGTTCTTGAGTGAGCTGAGATTAAGATGAAGAACTTTTTGTTTGATATTCTCATTAGAACAAAGTAACTTAGCAATACATAAAAGGTAAAAAATAGAAAATTAATTCACTAGAAATTGAATCAGCTTAGATGTCATCAAATTGGCAAGTAGCCATTAGTGAATTTCTGGAAGATGATTCTGAGCTTTAATTTTACTTTTTAGTGTTACATATTACATGCATTTCTATTAAAATTCCTGGACACAAATTAGTCTTCACCATAATTAAAAGAAATATAATTACAACTGTCAGTTATAAAAGTAACTGACTGGAGCAAATTTAAATGCAAGTTTTTGAGTAGGACAGTTCACCTTGAAGAGGAAAATAATGAAATTTAAAGAAAAATCACTTTGAAGGAATTATGAAAAAATTGACACAATTTCATATGAAAATACTCAGTAAATATATTTTACTTTTCATGCTCAAGAAAGAAAAACAACTTTTAAATTCTAACTCAGTAAATAAAATGTCTTAAGAACATTATCTCAATATAAAACTTTATAATAAAGAGAAAATGTGGATTATATGTGTGTGTGATAGAGTTTGTGTGTGCATGTGTATGCACTAATGCATACATGTAAGTATAGATAAAGAATGAAAACTTCTCATTTATCACTGGCCAGTTGACTATTTTTATAGTTTTATATTTTTTGAGAATTTTATGCTTGATGTTTGAATCTACATCATTTCTGTCCTTTCATTTCCCAAATTCCTCTATTCCCTCTCCATTATGCATCATCTTTTTAAAAATCATTATTGTTATATGTATGCATATCTATGCATAAAATTATACACATATACATAATACAGAGTTTCCATTTTGTATGGCTTATATGTACATGTATCAAGGGACATACTTCATATTGAACAACCTAGTGGGAATTTATCTTAAAGGCAAATAATTCTGCCTCTCTCTGCAGTCCCTGCCCTCCAGTAGTTCTCTATGTAAGGGTGGAACTGTGTGAGGCTTCCTCTGCCTCCACAGCATGTATACTAGCTTTGTTATTATGTTGCTAACCACATTTCTAAAATAAAACTGGGATAATAGTAATGATGTTTCTCAAGTGATCAGTGCTTTACTTCATTAAGTTTTTTGTATATGGAATCATTTATTAACATATTAACAAGGAGTTATTTTAAAAACTTGTGCAATGTTTATTAAAACACTATTTCTATTACAAAAATAAATGTTTTAATACCTCATCCCTAAGGAAAGAAAAACTGAGAAAAACAGGGATCTGGAGAGCTGATCTTCACTGGGGAACAGCATACCAGCTGGATGTACAGAGCCAAATTGTCAGCCCAGAAAATATACATACAAGTGACTTAGTAGGAACTGAACTGGTTATATTTAGGAACACACACATATATGCATACAGATATATGAATGCAATAAGAGTTAATGGAAGTAGAGGCCATGAATTTAAAGGAAAGCAAGAGGGGTATATGGGCTAATTTGAACAAGGACAGGGAAAAAAAAGAAGTCATAATTATATTAGAATATCAAAATAGAAAATAAGTAAAGCTTTTTTTGTGTTTGAAGAAACTAAACAAATTTTAAGTTTATTGTTGTTCTCCAATGGCAGTTATCATTAGTTACTTACAATATTTCAAATTAATTTTATTGAAAGCCCCAGAAGTTAGATGGGTGTGATGTTTGTGTCTTGTGTGTGCTTGTTTGAGGGAAAAAAAGAAAAGTTGCACCAAAATAAGCCTTTATAAATCTCAGCCATGTGTAAGAAAATCTAAATGTTTTCATAGCTCCAAGGTGGAAACTAAATCTACCTCAAAATTTCTGTTTAAATTAAAAATGGGGTGTTCTTGTCATATGTTAAAACATTGCCAAGTGATTGAATAAATGCTAAACATTTTAGCAATAATCTTGTTAGTTCCACAAAAAAATGAGATTTTCATCAAAGTGCCATGTAATTGCATTTCCAAACAAAATTCTAGTTTTTTTCTATATCAGAGCTGACTGTGTGACCAGTAATAGTAAAAACTGAGTCTCCATGGTATAGTTTTAAGAAGCATACCATAGCCCACCGTAGAAAGGCCCAGGTGTTTCATCCTATTTTTCACAAGTTCAGCAAGCTCCTGTCTTTCGGACCTCCTGTAGAGGTTCAATCGCTGCTGGGTTATTTTCTCTGCAGTTTTCCCAGAATGCTTTGGTCCTTTTCTGCTCAGCCTCCTAGCCCACTGCATGCTCTTCCTCCGCAGCAATGGATGGTCTGACTGGTCGCTGGAGGTTGAGTTGCGGTGCATGCTGCGGTGGTGCCCTGGCTCTTTGGCATCTTTGGTGTCTTCCCACTCTTCCACACTGATGGATATTTGAGACTATTAAGAGAAATACATATTGGTAATTAGAACTTGAAAGAAAGTCTTTGCTAGAATTTAAATCAGTCGCCTTTATGATCTTGGTGTAATTGTATACACATGAGCTTTTCCACAGGATAAAGAAAATCAACACATTCCATTCTAATCATATTTTACTAATTAACTTGTAGAAACATTTCTGGAGCTTGTTGTGAATAAATTAAAACATCTAGATCTTTTAGGAAAAGACAATGTCATGTGTGCTCACGTGTAACCTATTTTTCTCCTATTACCGATTACTAGCACACAGATACTTGCAACAAACAAACAGCTATGTATTTTATAACTTCATTTAAGTACAGTCCAGGCAATAGGAAGGCTACATTTGCCACAAGTGTTTTGGATGAAAAACAAATAACAGATATAAAATCTGTTTGGGAAAAATCTCATTTATTTTAATGTATATGACCATGAGATGACTTTTATAAGATGGGAATTTCTCTTAATTCTCGTATGCACTAAGAAAAACTAAATAGCTTTTTTAATTCATGCATCCATTATCTACCGCATAAAACACTTTTGTGACTAAACTTTGTTCCAGGATATCTACAATAAGTCCACTTTTTCTCGAATGTCTTCAGGGATAACAGCTTATAGGAAAATCATGCTGTCCTCCATAGAAAAATGAACCCTGGGGAACCTCAGCACATCTCTTCTAACCTGTTCATTTCCTGTGGATTCTGCCGTGTAATGTAAGAGCCTCTGTTTCAGTGTTATCATTTTTCATACAAGGCAGTCACATGAAATGGAACCCTAGCCAATGAGACTTTTACTGTATGGAAACATGCACATGTCAGGAAAGAACTTCTGGACCCACGAATCTGCCATGGAGCTCCCCTCCAGGTCTGAAAACTTGCTGGAACTGCAGCTTTCACAGTTACACACAACTGTCTTTCAAAGTAATAGAAATTAAGTTACCAATTTAAGTCAGGAAGTAGACCTAATATATGCTCTAAATATGAAAATAAATTATGAGGCTCAGTGCATGCCTTATCCAAAACTGTAGCATCAAGTTAGGAAATAGTCATACACCTAAGCCCAGTCAAAATATCAGCAATTCATCAGATTCCTATTACAAAACAATGCTGTATTTGTGTAACGTAAAATAATCCAGTTAAAGTTCATATGATTTTGTGAAAAGTTCATTAAAGAAATGTAGGAACTGGATTTTATGTCTCAACTTAAGCTAGAAACATTAAAGGTTTTAAATCATGAATACTTTTATAAATCTTAGCTTATTTGTTCTCATTGAGTTAATATTACAACTTAAGTCCCCTTAAGTGCAAGTAGTTTACCAATTATTGTGCAATATCTATCATTAGTAAGGACTATCTACAGTTATTCAGTATTATTTGTAATATGTCCTACAAGAATAAATCCTCGAAATTCTTCTGTGTAAAACTTTCCAGAGAAACTCATCCAGGTGCATGAGTTTATATAAGATCACTTACTGTTTGCGCCTTGGAATCACGCACTGATAAATATTAAGGGACAGAGGAAGAATTTGATGTTATTACAAGCAGAATTAAAACATTATTTGTCTTTGTGAATGTTTCTTCTTAGTCCAGTGGCTCAGATACTGTGAAATACATACATTTAAAATATGAATCAAAATGTATGTATATGTTATCAAAGCACTATTTAAAAGGCCACCTTTAGCATTGTTCTTAATCCCCTATAAAGGGGACATCATAATTTCACATATACAATCATTTACAATTGCAAGTCATCTTTCTTGTAAGTCTACACAATGAGCAAACATCTCTTTATAGATGTTGCTTTAACTAGAAGAAAAAGGAATGAGAACAATTCTGTTTTTTGTTTGTTTGTTTTGTTTTTTAGAAAAATCAAGTCAAATCTTAGACCTTTGGGTTTCTTTCTCCTTTGAATACCATGTATGAAAAGCATAGTTAGCTTTTATAGTGAGATGAGTAAATTCGAGAGTTATTTCAGGTGCAATATGAAAATCAAACATTTTAAATAAAATGGCAATATTCATTCTCTACCCCTCACAACCTTTTGAAAATTTATCTAACACATTGCCATACAGAGAAAACATTCTCATCCCTAACTTTGAACTAAAGTGATGACAATAATAATTCATAAGAAATAAAGTTTACCCACAGTGTAAACAGCATTGCTGTTATGCTCCTGTTATTAAATCTCATGTCTATTGTGTGAAAAGATATCTATTTGTGAATTAATTTCCTACTGTCTCTTTCCTTGATGTTTCTCACTCTATTCTGTGCTGGACTAAGCATCCCCAGGCAGAAGACACTGCAGCACAGGAAATGAAACACTGAAAAATACTTATAGTAAATATATGTATATTTTCTATAATGTTCATCTTGATTACTCTGTAAGAGAACTCTGTATTTTTATATTTTTATCAGCAGAATCTCCAATGCTTGATAATAGGAAATAGAGGACTACACACAAAATTTTGACATGGATGTTGGGATTGCCAACTCAAGATGTCATGCCCATAAATCAGGTGCTCTTATTTTTTTAAGTATATTTTTATCCCATCACAAATATACTTTCTGTGAAATGGTTTATGAAAAATTTATGTGTGTGTTATAATAAGTTCTTACATATTAAGATTCTTATTTTTAAATTTCTACGATTCACAAAACTTGTCATGATTTAGAAAAGCACTAAATGTATGTCTTTACAAAAATAATAAAATCTCTATTTAAAATAATAAATAATTTATACCTAAAATAGCATGCTCACCAAAGAAAAAATCCTCCAAAATAAAATTGTAATTCTAAACATATGTATGCATAAATCAGAAGGGTACCAGAACTGATAAAAGAAACAGTACTACAGCTAAAATCACATATTGATTTTTACACAGTGATTGTGGACAACCAGTAAAGCATGTTTTCCAGGACACAGGTCAATGGGATAAAATATAAACAAAAATACTGTGGCTGACATAATAAACCTAAAGTATCTAATAAATATTTCAAGAATTTTCACCCAAACACAAAAAATAATGTATCTTCTCAAAAGTTCATGAAAGTTTCTCTGAAATCAACCAAATATGTGGAAATGAAGCAAGACTCAATACATAGAAAAAAATAAAAGGAAAAAGCAAGCAAACAAAACAAAACAAGAAAACCCACTACAACCTATCTGACCATCATGAACTAAAGCCTGATACCAACATCAATGGAAAACTTACAAACTCATGAAAACTGAAAAATTCACTAGAAAATGAAACTGACTCAAGACAAATTAAGAAAGCCATGAAAGTACTTCTAGAATTGAATAAAAATGAAAATAAGCACACCCAAATTTATAAAAAAAAACAATGAAAGAGGTTCAAAGAAGCAAATTAATATAGCATTAAGTCCCTACATCAAAAACTGTAGAGATGTCATAATAATAACAACAACCTAAAATCTGTGGAAGAAAAGAGGAAATCATATCCAAAAATAGAAAGTATCCAAAAAATTCAGGGATGCAATTTAAAAATAGAAACAACAACAGAGAACCAATACAAAGAATACATAAAACAAAAAATGGTACTTACAGAAAATCAATAAACTGACAAACGATTGGACAAATTAAGTAAAAGGTAGAGAGAAAATACTAAAATTAACAAAATTAGAGACAAAAGTAGGATATAACCAAAACTGAGGAAATTAAAAGAATTATATAGACATACTTTAAAAACCCATACTCCACTAAACTGGAAAATATTTTAAAAATTGAAATTTTCTTAAAATTTACTACCACCAACCAAGACCAGTAAAGCAATTTAAATAGATTTATAAGACCCATTGACATAGATGCTGTAACTAGATGTCTCCAACCAAAAAAGAAAAAAAAATCCAGGGCTAATGGCCTTGGCACAGAATTCTACCAGAGCTTTAAATAAAAAATTAAGGACAATAACCTTCAAATTACTCCATAAAATAGGAACAGAAGGAAAATTGTCCAATTCTTTATTTGAGTCGCACTTATCCTGACAACAAATCCACATAAAAACACAGCAAATAAAAGATTACAGTGAAGTTTCCCTTATGAATATGTAAAATACTCTATGAAAGACTTGCAGACCAAATAGAAGAAAACATGAAAAGAATAATCCATCTTGTCAAGTAGGTTCTCTCCCAACATTGCACAAATGGCTCACCCTACACAAGATGATAAATTAAATTTATAATATCTACAAATTGAAATACAAAAAAGCTCATGATCATCTAATTAAACACACACACACAGAGAAACACCTTTAACAAAATACAAAACCCCTTAATGATAAATGTTTTGGAGAGAAAAAGGATACAAGAGACATATATCAACATAATAAAGGCAATTTACAGCAAGTCCATAGCCAACATCAACTTAAATGGAGAGAAATTCAAAGCATTTCTACTCCAATCCACTCTCTCCCTACCACTTGGTAGAGTATTTGAAGTCCAGAGTAACTGGATGATATCAATCAAGGGGATAAAAATAGAAAAAAGAGAATTGTATCTTTATTTCCAGATGATATAGTTGTATCATTATACCCTAAAATATCCATCAGTAAACTCTTACAGCTGATAAGCACTTTCAACAAAGTAACAGGAAACAAAATTAGTACACAAAAGTCAGCAGCCTTTCTCTATACAAATGACAAACTGATTGAGAAAAAACTCAGGGGAAGAAGAGCTTTGACAAAAACCTCAAAAATTTCTTGGGGTGATCCTAACCACGCAAGTGAAAGACTTGTATAATAAAAATTTTAAGACATTGAAGAATATACCAGAAGATGGAAAGGTCTCCTATGATCATAGGTAATATTAATATAGTAAAATTTGCAATTGTCCTAAAAGCAATTATCAGAATAAAGGGAAATCTCATTAAAATTCCATCACAATTCTTTACAGTTCTTGAAAAGCCCATAGTCAGCCTACTATGGAAACACAGAAATATCTTAAATAGTTTAAGCTCTCCTGAATAGT